AAACTTGAACGTAGAGCAGAAAATCCATCCGTCCGTTATCTTTACCCACCTCTTCCTTTCCTTTCTGGGTTGCGGGAGTCACTGTGTGAGAGATGGGGGACACCCTCAGGTCTCCAGTCCATCACAGGGACATATAGAAACAGACAAGACAACCATTCACACGCACACTAGACCTAGGGACAATTTAGTTACCAATGAACCTAAAATGCATATTTGGTCTGTGGAAATAAACTGGAGTACCCAGGGGAAAACACTTATGTGCATGGGGGGAGTGTGTATACTCCACACAGAAAAGCAAAGATGCAAACCTGTGACTGTCTAGCCGAGAGGCGACAGCTCTAACAACTGCACTCAATTTTCTTTTAATTATTTTCATTATTCTAAATTTAAAAAAAATTCTGATCCACTTCCATATAAAGATGGTTTATCTCCATCTGGCTCCCTTCACAAGGCATTGCCTGTTAATCACTGTCACTCCCACCTTGGACAGGAAAAAATAGAAAAATGTTTTCAACATGGATGGACAAATGCAAAAGTAGCATACAATAAATATAAAATTAAGTATTAGATTACTATTTTCTTTTTTGTGAATAAATGTTCATTTATTAATAATTTCATGGTTTTAGTTGAACAAATCTTATTTTCCCAGAAAAGGGCACATTAAGTTGATATTTACTGTTCATTAGCAGCAAAGTTTAATCAATCAATTTCTGAAGGCATATCGCTGTGTTTTATATCATTTTTTTCAAACAGTTCAGTATTCAGAATACTTTGTGCTGATTAGGGGTACGCAGCTGAAAACATATTTAAACTGAAGAAAGGCTGAGAACTACTAGGCTAAGGGTGCATTCACAACACCCCTGTTTAGTCCGCTTTAATCGAACTCTAGCTCGTTTTCCTTGAAAGTCCGGTTCGTTTAGGGAGGTGTGAACGCGCCATCGAACTCTGTCACGGAACAAAAAGGCGAACTCTGGCCCGGGCTAAAACCTAGGTCTCGGTCCGATAGAAGAGAACTCCAGCACGGTTCGAGTACAGTGTGAATGTAAACAGACCGGGCTCCGCTCCTCAGGACAAACAAACACGCATTTCTCTGACCTCATATGGAGCCGTCAGCTGCCTTGTGTGGAAAACAATATTCTCCATGGTCTTCTGTCTCATCTTCTGCTCATGCTAAGTCCATTTTTGAAAAATGACAAAATATAACACCTAAAACTGCTAAAACTTGATGTCACTTCGTTTTTATTTTTATTTACAGAAGAAGAAGAAGACACGTCTTCAGAGGTTTTTGTGTCGTTTCTTTCAGTAGTTCTTGGTGCAGCGCCCCCACAGGCGAGCGGGGGAATAGGTTGGTTCAACAGGTTGATTTGACTGCACAGTGCAGTGTGAATGCAAACTCACCAGCTCAAATGTAACAAAAGCTCATGAATATTGGTCCCGAACCGAACCGAGTCTACCGGACTATCTGGTGTGAAAACGACTCAAGTTATTAAACTATCCATCCATCCATTATCTTTACCCGCTTATTCCATTTTGGGTCACGGGGGTCGCTGGTGCCCATGTCCAGCAATCACTGTGCGAGGGGCGGGGTACACCCTGGACAGGTCGCAAGTCCATCACAGGGCCACATAGAGACAAACGAGACAAACAACCATTCACTCTCTCACTCACACCTAGGGAAAATTTAGAGTTACCAATCAGCCTAACATGCATGTTTTTGGTCTGTGGGAGGAAACCGGAGCACCCGGAGAAAACCCACGCATGCACGGAGAAGGCATTCGTCCACATCTCTCAGAGAGCCCTGTGGAGGGTACCGGGAGTATGGGGTACCAGGCCCTTTCATACGGACTGTTAGGTCCCTGTGCGACCGGTGTCAGAGCTTGGTCCGCATTGCCAGCAGTAAGTCGGGCTCATTCCCATTGAGAGTTGGACTCCACCAAGGTTGCCCTTTGTCACAATTCTGTTCATAACTTTTATGGACAGAATTTCTAGGCGCAGCCAAGGTGTTGAAGAGATCTATTTTGGTGGCCTTAGAATCACTTCTCTGTCTTTTGCAGATGATGTGGTCCTATTAGCTTCATCAGGTCGTGATCTACAGCTTTCGCTGGAGCGGTTCGCAGCCTAGTGTGACGCAGCCGGGATGAGGATCAGTTCCTCCAAATCCGAGGCCATGGTCTTGAGCCGGAAAAGGGTAGAGTGCCCTCTCCGAGCCGGGGAGGGGGTCCTGCCCAAGTGGAGGAGTTTAAGTATCTTGGGATCTTGTTCACGAATGAGGGAAAAATGGAGCATGAGATCGATAGGCGGATAGGTGCATTGTCGGCAGTGAAGTGGACGCTGTACCGGTCTGTTGTGGTGAAGAGAGAGCTGAGTCAAAAGGCAAAGCTCTCAATTTACCGGTCGATCTACGTTCCTACCCTCATCTATGGTCATGAGCTTTGGGTCTTGACTGAAAGAACAAGATCGCGGATATAGGCGGCCGAAATGAGTTTTCTCCGCAGGGTGTCTGGGCTCTCCCTTAGAGATAGGGTGAGAAGCTCAATCATCCAGGAGGGACTCAGAGTAGAGCCACTGCTTCTCCACATCGAGAGGAGCCTGTTGAGGTGGCTCGGGCATCTGGTTAGGATGCCTCCTAGATGCCTCCCTGGTGAGGTGTTCCGGGCACATCTCACTGGGAGGAGACCCAGAGGAAGACTCAGGACACGCTGGAGGTACTATGTTACTTGGCTGGCCTGGGAGCACCTTAGGATCCCCCTGGAGGAACTGGCCCAAGTGGCTGGTGAGAGGGAAGTCTGGGTCTCACTATTTAGGCTGCTACCCTCGCGACCCGAACCCGGATAAGCGGAAGAAAATGGATGGATGGATGAAGCAGTTTTATCAATTTTATCAGCTGTAACACACCGAGTCGTTATGCTTCCTGTTATGATTGTCTGTGCTCATTGGGAGGTTCGTTGCAGAATATTTTCTATACTAGTAAGATGTAAAACAAAGATAAGTTGTTTAAAAGGGGGATATCTTGTGGGGAAAAAGTAAATGGTAAAGGACTGTACTTATATAGCGCCTTTCTATCTTATCAAGACACTCAAAGCGCTTTTCATTACAATCTGTGTCCTCATTTACCCATTCATACAGCTCTATACTAGATCTCTACAAAGCTAATTAAACAAATCATTCTAAAGAGACTAATCAGTGCTTTATCACATTCATACACCGATGTGACACACATCGGAGGCAACGAGGGGTTCATTGTCTTGCCCAGGGACACTTCAGCAAGTGACTGCTGGTGGATTTGAACCCCCAACTCTTGCATTGGAGGACGGCTGCTCTAACCATTCAGCCACAGCCGCCCCAGAAAGTATTCTTATGGCAGCTAGTTCTGCTCTGCAAATGTTTGTCTCTCTGGATTGATGGGAGGAGATTAAAAAGACAGTGTCCAGGGGGTGAGGGTTGTTATAGCAAACAGGACGCACAAGGCGTTAACAATATATGGCTTCCAGTTAGTAATGTCATTCTGATGCCGAAGCCCCGATCCTTGCTTCGAACTCGACGTTGCGTTCTCTTTGAACTACTGCTACGAAGTGTGCTTTGTTGCAGAGAAAGTTACGTAAGCGATGACGTATGAAGCAGTGACTGCTTCGTTCCCCGAATGAATCCCACAATAGCTTCACATCGCGAGATGATTCGTTGACATGAGACTTGCTTCAGGAGGCTTGCGCACACCAAAACATACCTTAAAGGTACTCGACACACACCGCAACATGTCGTTTTGTTGTTGGAGTTGTTGCTGTTTTCATCACTGCTTTTGGTTGATCAACATGGAGCCAACCAGGAAGAGAAGCCATTCACAAATGTGGGAACACTTTGAGCTGATCAGTCCTAATAAGGTGAATAGTTTATTACTAAACAAGTAACTTGAACAGTAGTAAACTGGGAGGGGCTGGGGGGGGGGGGTAGGTACCTTTGTATGTGTGGTGATTTAAGTGATTTCTATGACCTGACAGTTTGTTTTCTTGTTTGATCATTACTGTTCATACAGGTCCAGTGTTTGTATTGTTCCATGCAACTGGCATATAATAACAATACGTCCTCGATGCTTAGGAACTACAGAACTAAGTATGAAAACAAGCAGGAGAACACTTGTCAGCAGCAAAACTGGTTGATCCACTCTGAGAAGGTGCTATTTATAAGAATGAGCTGACAACACCTCAGGCTGAGATAGTCTTTCGGATGAAAGACGAAACGTTTCTACATTTTTTGTTGTTTTGCTTTGTTTTTTTGAATGTCCAGAGGACAGATTTAACTTTTTTTTTTTTAGATTTATTGACAGTGTTTGTTGTCTACTATTTCACCACTAGATGTCACTGAAATGAACCTTTGAATGAATGAACCCAAGTTCAATAAAATTGGCAAAGTGGTTCAATACTGCTTTATTGCTTCATTTGGCCATCACTACTTCCAGTAACACATTAGAAGAAGAAGAAGAAAAAAACAAGACAAAATTTTAAATGAAGTCCATCCATGATTTATCTACTGTACATCTCTTCTTGTAGCAGCTGTAACCTGTCACAACTGTTTGGCTGAGCAGATTTAGGAGGTAAACCTGCAGCTGCCCTGTCACTTCGCTTGCTCTCCTCTCCTAAGTACTCAGCCCACTCACATGTAAACCACAGGGCTCTGATGTAAACAGTATACTGTGTACACATGACACTTGACAAGATGGCGACTATAAAATCTCGTCTAGAGCCTTTGGTGGCCCATCCACTGTTTCTCTATTTCAGTGGGGGTTTCCCTGCTTGTATCAGCTGAGCAAGGAATATACCATTCCTCTTCAACCGTATTTTCCGCCTGAGTTTTCCCGTGATAAGCAGCTGTAATAAAAATAATTTAGCTTATATCGACGAACAAACTGTTTTTACAACATTAGATATCCAAAAGATAGTTAAATGTCACCAGTGACGTTGTGAAAATTTTATTCGAGTCAAACACGCCCCGCAACCCGTGGAAGGTTCCAAAATGGCGACGGTTCCCGTCAGAGGGAAGTGAAACTTTCCTGTTTTTCTTTGCATTATCTGGATCGCCTAAGCCGTTTCTTCGACGTTTCTCGTCTCTTTACCGAGAACAATTCCAGCGGAACAGGTATGAGGGCGGTCAGTGCTTGAAACGAGCTGCTCGGTTCCGCGCTCCGTGTGTCTGCTCACCATATATCGCCGGGCTTCCTTCGAAGAAGTTCCCGTTGATGACTGAGCTCGCAGCGGCTGTTGTCTACAGCTCGTTCGGCGCTTAAGCTTCAGGTGAGACTGGCCGTTGGCCGCGTAGCTAGCTACACCACCGGGCACAGAGCGCCCGAATCCGCCCGGCTGGGCTTGTGTTCACGCGTCTCAGTTCTGAACGACAGGTCTGAAATCCAGCATTTCGTAACTTGTCGAAGTGGAACTGGATGTAGGTTGTGTTATTTGTCAGCAAATGTCCATGTCGGATCTGCTGTGCGTGCCATTTTATTTTCACCCGTCTCCAGTGACAGATGTCTCGGTGGCCTGCGGTCACTCATCGATCATGCACATTCTGTCCTCATTTAAAGTCCTCCTCGCTAAGCACCTGATAACAAAATATAGCTTTTTTCATGTCCCCCGTTCACCAGATTGTACGAGAATTATCCCATTATTGTAACATCTGAGTGACTGGTTTCATCAGCAGGTAGCCTCTCATCACTTTTTTAACAACACTGGTGCAATGTGAAATCCACTCACGATTTAATTTCATTAAACTTTAAATACGCAATGCCCACAAAGTGTCCACTTTCTATCCTTAACTGGTTTTAGTTCTTATCATTTCCTTGTTGCTGTATGACGAGCAGACATCCTGGCCAATCAGATGGAGAAGCTCCAGGACCTGAGCCAATCAGAGCTGCAGGAGCTCCTGGATAACGCGGAGAGGGTGGAGTCTATGGCTTTGGAGTCTGACGAGGTAAAAACGCTGCACACCTGGACGTCTCCATCAGCTTACCTCTGCTTTTCACTTTACAGGCCTTTCTGAATGGGAAACAGGCTTTAAGGGTAGTCTGGTACTTTTGATGTGATGTTTTGGTCACATACAGGGCGGCTGTGGTTGAGTGGTTAGAGCAGTCATCCTCCAATACAAGAGTTGGGGGTTCGATTCCACCAGCAGTCACATGCTGAAGTGTCCCTGGACAAGACACTGAACCCCTCATTGCCTCCGATGTGTGTCCCATCGGTGTATGAATGTGATAACGCTCTGATTATTCTTTGTATAGATCTAGTATAGAGCTGTATGAACGGGTAAATGAGGCACAGATTGTTGTAAAGAGCTTTGAGTATCTCGATAAGATAGAAAGGTGCTATATAAGTACAGTACATTTACATAGTTGCCAGTAGTTTAGTACGTCAGCCGTCGTATGAAATTGTTTTTATTAGGCGTTTACAGAGAGTAAATTCCAATCACTGGACAAACATTTACTGTAAATTTGCACAATAAGTTTGTCCTTACAGATAATTTCATAAAATAACTTAGATTTATTTATTTTTGAACGCTCATGGGATGTAACGATACGCACAAGTCACAGTTCAGTACGCACCTTTGTATGAGGATCACAGTTGGGTACAACAACAAAATACAGTGATGCCAAATAGTGCTTTTTTATTTTTATGTTTTTATTTTACGGACAGACGTTTCCAGAAGCAAAGGAGGGAAGGGATGCCTGAGATTGTCACCATTGTATGTTTCCATACAATGGTGAAATTAGTTCTCTGCATTTAACCCATCACACCTGAGATGCACCCAGGTGGAGCAGTGGGCAGCTATGAAAGTGCCCGGGGAGCAATTAGGGATTGGGTGTCTTGCTCAAGGACACCACAGCATATGGGCATGGTGGGGAGTTGAACATGCGACTTTCTGGTGCAAGTTGTCTGCCCTTCCGCTGCACCCTCTTGCTCCAAGAGATACCTAATTCTCTGAAACCCTCAATCTTCTCAGCCGGTTGAGAGCTAGTGCATGAAAATGATGCTTGACATCGAGGATGTTGAATAAATATACAAATGACTTCTAAAGTAGTTTTCAAAGTGTCACTTAAATTATACAACGGCTTGCCATACCTGCATCTCATCTCCATCTCCTGTATGCCAGCAATCACTATTTTAATGTTTAAACAGGTCACCAACCCTTTTTTAAGCCCAAGAACTCTGATCTCGGTCCTGAACAATGGCATGATCTATTCAGTGAAGTGTAATGGAGAAAGAAACCAAAATACTTTAAACTCAAGACCATTTATTTAAGATGACTCTGGCACAGTATTTAGGTTATGGCTTCTGTTTTAAGAACTGGAAATAACACATTCAGTTTAAAGTTGCTTTGAACTCAAACAAACACACAACACATGGCTTAGTTTCCATTTGCATTAAAACACTTTTCAGAATGTTTTTTTTTTATTAATTGGAAGAAAATGAGCACATTTTGTAATACACACAATGTCACTGGTTTGGCGCTTTTAAACATGCTTCAGGCAAGTTACAAGTTAACTGCAACTTAAACTGGTAACTGACAAGTTAAATCAGTCAGAAAGACACACCGGATTAACATGATCTGTTTGTATGTGTTAGCTGTATGAAGCCAAATAATTGAGTTTCACGATGACTATTGGTACAAATGTGGCTGCTGCTCGTAAAAAAAACAAAAAACACTAATTCTTTTGAAGGAATTCATAGTTTCCTCTGCAGGGTAGCTGGACTCTCCCTTAGAGACAGGGTGAGAAGTTCAGTTATCAGGAGAGACTTGGAGTAGAACCACTGCTCCTCCACGTCGAGAGGAGCCAGTTGAGGTGGTTTGGGCATGTCTGGCTCGGGGAAGACCCAGGACACACTGGAGAGACCACGTCTCTCGGTTGGCCTGGGAACGCCTTGGAGTCCTCCCAGAAGAGCTGGAAGAGGCTGTGGAGAGAGATGTCTGGACCTCCCTGCTCAAGATGCTGCCCCTGCAACCCGACTTCGGAACAAGAGGAAGATGATATATATCGATATGATCATATCGCCTGCCACCTTTCATGCCAGAGTTTTAAACCTAGAGGAAGAGAAGTGATGGACGTGTAGATGTTTTGGACAAACATGGGTGCTGTTGAGGTGCAGCTACAGGAGAGAAATGAGATGATGGTTCAGGGAGCAGCACCTGGTGGGACTGAGTGGACACAAGGTGTGGTGTGTTCCTAATCAGTGCTAAGACCTTTGGAGGCGCTTTGAGGAAAACCATTTCAAACCATTGCGCTGTGTACATCCCTGCAGAAGGAAGCCAAATAAACCTGTATTGAAATGGAAGACTGTGCTTGTGTATGCATGGGAACCAACCCATGACCAGATGTTTATGCTATTTGAAATATACTGGTCTATGATCACTGTCTAAGCAGTTTGATGTTGTGCTCACTGATATTGTGATGGCAAAAAGTTTGTAATATATTGTGCAGCTGTAATTGGCTGCACATTTATAACTGAGTAATGTTTGCAGTCAACCCAGTTCAAGATACGGTAGTAGCCACAGCCATCCAACCTTTGCTACACAAAAATGGCTAGAACTCCATCAATTTGACAGAAACTGAGCAAACGTGCGAGTGGTAGCAGCCAAGACTTTCACAGCACGTACGGAGGGCAAACACGGGCTGTGGCAGCTCAGTGCCACGGTCTTGTAATCCTGAGACTGCAGGTTCGAGCCCACGTTGCATCGTAGGGTGTCCTGTGTAAAACAAAGGCTAAATCTTTGCTGTGGCGACCTCTGCGGAAGGGAGCAGCTGAAAGAAAAACCACCTTTTGATTTCTAACCGATTGCAGGAGATCTCACATGAATTATTTTCAAGGTCGGAGAAAAAATACAACGTTGTCCTCTCATCTCAACATGATTTTAGTTTAGCACTGTCCTGAAAGGTGGTGGGGAATAGGCATACCTTTTTAAATAACTGCTTTAATATTTATCTTAGTTTACAACACAGCTGTTATGTAGGAATTAGAACGAACACTGTGACCTCATGACATTAGCTGTTCTTGTAGACTTGAGTAAATGAGTCACTTTGCATGCGCTGAGATTTGTAGGAAGGTATAACACATTCAGTAACAGAATCTAATTTAGTTTGAACATGATGCTTTATGCCCTGCTCTACATCCCATAGTAAGGCATTGCATAGAAAATTAATATTTCAACACGTTACATAAAGTTTTGTCCTAATGACTTTTCTCTCATCAGATTCAGAACATTCAGCTGGAAAGAGAGATGGCGCTGGCATCAAATCGCAGCCTGGCAGAGCAGAACCTGGACATGAAACCTCGTCTGGAGTCACAAAAGGAGGCGCTGGTGGCAAGATATTCTCAGCTGGAGGCCGTCAGAGAAACCTACAGACAGCACTGCTCCCTCAGAGGTAATGACAAGTGAGCCAAGCCCACACGTTTTCATACTTTAAATTAGAAACCGCACCTGTCATCATGGTTGAGCTTGGTCTATGTTTGTTCTAAACTTTTTCTGCTACACATCAGGAAAATAAATTACAAAAATACAGTAGGTGCCATTTCTTTCATATTTTAACAACCATTACAATTTTAAGATAATAAACGTTTCCACATGTGCTAAAATAGTTAAAATAATAATGTTATTCGAGTTTATCAAAATGTTTTTGAGGTTCAAGGCCTCTTACAATTAAATGCAGAGGAAAATTAATATAAAAGTAGATTACGAGGAACTTCACAACCATCCACCCCTCTCCTTGTTCATAAAACACATCAAAGGTTTTCATTTGTTTGTTACTTAAAATAAACTATTAACGTTGATGGTCGTGCTTCAGAATTTCAATGAGCGTTTTCAATTATTAAAATCCATCTGTTGTTTTTATCTGTTTCTTTCTTTTCGGGTCGCAGGGGTCACTGGCATCCACGTTCAGTAGTCCCTGTGTGAGAGGCAGGGGACAATGGACAGGTCTCCAGTCCATCACAGGGACACATTGAGACAAACGAGACAAACAACCATTCTGTCTCTCACACACGGGGACAATTTAGAGTTACCAGTTAGTCTAACATGCATATTTTTGGTCTGTGGGGGGAAACTCATGCATGGAGAGAAAACATGTAAACTCCACCCAGAAAGGCCCCCGGCTGGGATTTGAACCGACAGTCTGCTCGCTGAGAGGCAGCAGCTCTACTGTGCCACCGTGCCGCCCTATTAAAATCCTTTTAAAAAATGGCAACAAACATATAAGTCAATGGAAAGTTCCAGATCAGTTTTTCTTTTAAAGGAAACTGCAGATTGTTGAGTGGCTGCTTCATCCGTTGTTCATGCTGGAACGGGTCTTTTCTCAGAAACCTTCAGCCACAGCCAGTATGTCCTTACACACCTTGCATCACTACGACTTCAGCAGACACACTTTTATTGTTTATTCTTATCGTTGTTACTGGTTAATACTTGATTTTATTTCTACACTAATGTCCATGTCAAGTCATTGTTATCAGTTGTAAGTAGAGGTGTAATGATATGTCTAAGTCAAGGTATGGAACACACCTCAGTACCAGGTGATTGTTAAATATTTAAAAACCTGCAGGTTCTCCAAGTGCTGCTGTCTCTCCTCAATAATTTAAAGAGGTTTTCCAAACTGTTCTGACTCTTGTTGACAGCAGTCTGTCTTCTGCTCTGGTCCTCGTGAATTTCAAGCATGCAGTAGTCCAGCCTAAAAAAGCAGCTCCTGCAGTTCTTGCTAATTGCAGGCGTTTTTTTCAAAACTACCTTTTTTTTTCTAAAGTGATTGAGACAATAGTTTACAGTAGTCCCTCGCTACTTCACGGTTCGTTTATCGCGGACTCGCTCTATCGCGGTTTTTCAAAATAAGAGTGAACATGACGCACAACTGGCTGATTGATGGATGAGCCGCACGATCAGCATGGAACTTTTATTTAAAATAGATTGTTTTAAATTATTTAGCATGTTGTTCTAGAACCTGAACAGGTTCTAGAACAACATATGCTCCCATCTAGACGTCATCTCTTTCAGGGAAGACCCTGCATTTTTCAACACGATAATGCCAGACCACATTCTGCAGCAATCACAACATCATGGCTACGTAGGAGAAGGATCCGGGTACTAAATGGCCAGCCTGCAGTCCAGATCTTTCACCTATACAGAACATTTGGTGCATCATAAAGAGGAAGGTGCCACAAAGAAGGCCCAAGACGATTGAACAGTTAGAGGCCTGTATTAGACATGAATGGGAGAGCATTCCTATTTCTAAACTTGAGAAACTGGTCTCCTCTGTCCCCAGACGTCTGTTGATTGTTGGAAGAAGAAGGGGGGATGCCACACAGTGGTAAAAATGGACTTGTCACAACTTTTTTAGGATTTGTTGACGCCATGAAATTTGGAAACAACAGATTTTTCCCTTAAAATGAAACATTCTGTCAGTTTAAACTTTTGATCTGTGATTTGATATATAGATGGATAGGGATGGATGGATAGGGATGGATGGATAGGAAGGAAGGAAGGAAGGAAGGAAGGAAGGATAAGATAAACTACTTGTACTACTATTCCTACTTCGCAGTTTTTCACTTATCGCGGGGCTTCAGGGTAAGGATCCCCCGCAATACATGAGGGACTACTGTATTTCCATTTCTCCAACACCCAAAACTGTTCAATGTAACGGACTTGTATCGTTCACAGAGAATGAATAAAGGACTGTCATTTCTGTATAGCTCACCATTACATTACTGAACCTTCTTGTGATTAACAGCTTGTGACGTCACATTCTGTGGTAACTCTGAGAGAACTCATCCAGATGAACAGAACCAGTTTTTTGTGCTGTTTAAATGTTATTGTCTCGCTCTTAGTCTCTTGTGTTCTCCTCTTCAGATGGGATGATGGGTCAGGTCTCTCCAGAGGCATTATTCCCAAGACTACAGACTGAGAGTGAGAAAACGGATTCTGAGTCGGAGGTTAGTGCTCAGCCCATGGTGGCTTTTTAGGCCTAAAATGACACTTTTTTTGCAGCGTTTTTTTAATGTTCCTATCAAAGTTGCAGTTTCTCAAAGCTTTTTTATTTTTATTTTACTAAAACATAGCATAATGGACAAAGAAATTCATTAAAAAATAGCTGCAAGTACCTTTTTTAATCAAGGCCCATGATTTGTTTAGAAATGATGTTTAAAGTGCTTGTGTGCACATAAAATGAGGGTGCCTCTTTATGAAAACAGAGGTTAAGAAAGTTGGATATCCTGTCTAACCAGTCAGAATATTTAGATTCCAGTCGCTGTAGGTCCCGCCCTTCTTCTCCGTGTCTGCAGCACTGTGTGGGTGGAGTTTTCATTGCCGCCATGAGGAGGAGAGTGCTAAGCTGCGCAGTGTGAGAGTCTGTGAAGTTTAAGACAGAAAAAGTACTGGATACAAACTTATAACAAATGGTTTTTGCAGGTAGCTTTACCAGTTATCAGCTGACTTCTGAGCTGGAAGTAGTTGGAGTGAGTAAACAGACCGGAGTTTCAGTTTTCTGACGATGTTAAAGAGCACTGTTCGAGCTAACTTGCTAGCCTCGTTGGCTTTTATTTGCTGTTGATTTCCTGAAAGTTTCATCTCTTCTTTCAACTGAAGGTAATGTCTAAAACATAGTGTGTGTGTATGTATTTATATATATATATATATGTGTGTGTGTGTGTGTGATATATATACAGTGGTGCAAAAAAAGTATTTAGTCAACCACTGATTGTGCAAGTTCTCCTACTTCGAAAGATGAGAGGTCTGTAATATTCATCAATGGTACACTTCATCCATGAGAGACAGGAAATCACATTGTAGGATTTTTAAATAATTTATTTGTAAATTATGTTGGAGACTAAGTATTTGGTCAGTAATAAAGTTCAACTAAATACTTTGTAACATAACCTTTGTTGGTAATGACAGAGTTCAGAGGTTTCCTGTAAGTCTTCACCAGGTCTGCACACTGTTCTTGGTATTTTGGCCCATGCCTCCGTGTAGATCTCCTCTAGAGCAGTGACGTTTGGAGGCTGTTCCTGGGCAACACAGACTTTCAACTCCCTCCACAAACTTTTTATGGGGTTGAGGTCACTCCAGGACCTTGAAATGCTTTTTACAGAGCCACTGCTTCGTTGTCCGAGCCGTGTGTTTGGGATCGTCATCATGCTGGAAGATCCAGCCACGTTCCATCTTCAATGCTGTCACTGATGGAAGGAGGTTTGGGCTTAAAATCTCACGATACATGGTCCTGTTCATTCTTCCCTTAACACGGATCAGTCGTCCTGTCCCCTTTGCACAAAAACAGCCCCAAAGCATGATGTCTCCACCCCCATGCTTCACAGTAGGTGTGGTGTTCTTGGGATGAAACTCAGCATTCTTCTTCCTCCAAACACGACAAGTTGAGTTTTTACCAAAAAGTTTTATTTTGGTTTCATCTGACCACATGATGTTCTCCCAGTCCTCTTCTGGACCATCCATGTGCTCTCTGGCAAACTTCAGACGGGCCTGGACATGTCCTGGCTTCAGCAGGGGGACACGCCCGGCACCGCAGGATTTGAGTCCCTTTCAGCGTAGTGTGTTACTGATGTTACTTTGGTCCCAGCTCTGCAGGTCATTCATCAGGTCCCTCCATGTAGTTCTGGGATTTTTTACACACCGTTCTCATGATCATTTTGACCCCACGGGATGAGATCTTCTTGGGGGCCACGGATCAAGGGAGATTATCAGTGGTCTTGTATGTCTTGCATTTTCTTACAAGTGCGCCCACATATCCTGATGCATGCTCAATAATCCAGGTAGAAAAATCTAAAAAAAGTTAAATCTGGTCCTCTGGACATTCAAAAAAACAAAACAAAGCAAATCAACAAAAAATGTAGAAACGTTTCGTCTCTCATCCGAGAGACTTCTTCAGTCTGAGGAGCTGTACTCAGCTCAGTCTCTTAAATAGCACCTTCTCAGAGTGGATCAACCAGTTTGCTGCTGACAACCAAAACCAGCTGATCACATGCTCAAGAAGGACCATCAGCCTAACAATGGGTCATTAGCATCAACAGCCATCAGGTGCTAATGATCCATTGTTAGGCTGATGGTCCTTCTTGAGCATGTGATCAGCTGGTTTTGGTTGTCAGCAGCAAAACTGGTTGATCCACTCTAAGAAGGTGCTATTTAAGAGACTGAGCTGAATACAGCACCTCAGACTGAGGAAGTCTCTCGGATGAGAGACGAAACTTTTCTACATTTTTTGTTGATTTGCTTTGTTTTGTTTTTTTGAATGTCCAGAGGACCAGATTTAACTTTTTTACAAGTGCTCCCACAGTTGAGTTATTCACACCAACCTTCTGCCTGTTGTAGATTCACTCTTCTCAGCCTGGTGCAGGTCTACAATTTTCTTCCTGGTGTCCTTCGACAGCTCTTTGGTCTTGGCCATGGTTGAGTTTTGAGTCTGACTGTTTGAGGCTGTGGACAGGTGTCTTTAATACAGATAACGAGGTCAATTGGGTCCATTAATACAGGTAACGAGTGGAGGACAGAAGAGCTTCTTAAAGAAGAAGTTACAGGTCCGTGAGAGACAGAAATCTTGCTTGTTTGTTATTGACCCAATACTTGTTTTCCACCATAATTTACAAATAAATTATTAAAAAATCTTACAATGTGATTTCCTGTCTCTCATGGTTGAAGTGTACCTATGATGAAAATTACAAACCTCTCATCTTTCTAAGTAGGAGAACTTGCACCATCAGTGGCTGACTAAATACTTTTTTGCCCCACTGTAGATATGAACTAAGAAATATGCTAAACTAAGAATACGCTAAACACTAATCGTACAAAAACAATACTCCAAACAGCAGCTGCACGAACATGAGTCTGTGTGAGCAGGTGAGTACGTATGAACACAGCAGCATGAAATCAATCAGCAGCACAAGATTCATCCTGTGCTCTGTCAACGTGTGGCATGGAGGCTGCACAGCTGCAGGGAAAAGGGAAAAAAGCTTTGCAGAGAGTGGTGAAGGCTGCACAGAAGTCTGCTGGAGTCGGCCTCCCCACCATCAGACATCTACACCTCCACATGCAGGAAGAGGGCCACCTGCATCATGAAGGACCACCCTCACCCTGTTAGACTCATGAATCCCTAACCAGAACAATCACTGTAATGCCACTTTAAATGGTGACATGTCACTTTATACAGGTCCTTCTAAAAAAATTAGCATATTGTGATAAAGGTCATTATTTTCCATAATGTAATGATAAAAATGAAACTTTCATATATTTCAGATTCATTGCACACCAACTGAAATATTTCAGGTCTTTAATTGTTTTAATACTGATGATTATGGCATACAGCTCATGAAAACCCAAAATGCCTGTCCCAAAAAATTAGCATATCATGAAAAGTTTCTCTAAACAAGCTATTAACCTAACCATCTGAATCAACGACGTAACTCTAAACACCTGCAAAAGATTCTTGAGGCTTTTAAAAACTCCCAGCCTTGTTCATTACTCAAAACCACAATCATGGGTAAGACTGCTGATTTCTTACCCATAAGCTGCTGTATTCATACCCATCTGCTCACAGCAGACTCATGTTCAGGCTGCTGTTTAATACACTGTTAAAAAAACGCGCTAATTTGGAGGGGTTAGCATATCTGAAAACTCACCAGACTTTATCCAAAATTGTCCCCCGCTTGAAATTTTAGTATTTTAATGGAACCAAAAGTGGGCGTGGCCAAACTGCTCTGCAGTGCCTCCTAACGTGAGATAGGACAAAGTCGTACAGAGCTGAAATTGGGTACATAGGTAGAACCCCCTGAATCAAGAAAAAGTCTCTTGGAGGTATGCCCTAAACCCAACAGGAAGTCGGCCATTTTGGGTCAAAGGGTCATTTTTGGCTGTTTTTCACTTTTCATGTGGCGAATTTTAACTAGCTCCTCCTAGTTATTTTGAGTGATTGCCTTCACACTTGGTTGATATGCCCTTAAGACATGAGGAAGTAAAAGGTTTTTTTTTTAATTGCGTTTTCATATATGTTAAAGGGGCGTGGCCCGGCCTCAAAGTTGGGCTTCACGCCATAAATTTCCAAACTTTATAACTTTCACACAGAAAGACTGAAATGCACCAAACTTCGCATGAGTCATCCCTGTCAGATGCCTGATGATCCTTTGTGGTCATAATCTGACATCATCAAAGCCTCGCCCCCTCAGAACAGGAAGTCACTTTTTTGCTTGGAACACTCCTTCACGGACACCCTTGACCTAATCAGGATGATCCTGTGTTAGAAGACCTATAACAAGTTGGTCTGACTTGCTTTAAAGCGCAAGCCGTTATTTCTGGAGGTTGTGGGCGTGGGGGTTGCACCACCTTGCTGCCCTGCCAAACATCTACATAACTGAAATTATTTTACAATTATTTACCAATAAATATTACCCAGTCTTGTCTAGGTCATGTGACTGGAAGTCAAATGGTACCGGTAGAATGTGGTAAATATTCATTAAATTAGTACCATTGATTTTTTTTATTGGTAAACACTTCTGCTAACAACTGGTGTCTTTAAATGTACTTTCTAAATAAATTTGATGTGATTTCTGCTCAGCAAAGAGCTCATAGGAGAAGGACGGGGGACGAGCCCCTCCCTCCCCAACGTCTCCTCAGTTCTGTTTAATGCCCTTGTTCAAGCTTAAATGAGACACTGGTATTTAAACACCAGGGAGCCAATGGAGAGAAACTAAAACTGGAGAGATATGATCTCTCCCAGTAACTCCAGTTGACTCTGGCAGCAGCATTTTGGATCAACTGAAGAATCAAAATTGTGGGTGGGGTGGGTGAAACACCCACACTTGCCCCCACCCTCATTCGCCCCACTCTGGGCCCATGAGCAAGGCCCTTAACCCCCACCATGTGCTCCCTAAACAGGTCTCTCTTGAAAATGAGTTCTCGTGGCTCAATGAGACTAACCTGGATAAATAAAGGCTAAATGAAAAAAAAAAAAAGTATTTGTACACCCAGATAACAAACCATTGCAGTAGTCCAGTCTAGACGTGACAAATGCATGAACCAGTTTTTCTGCATAGTTCATTCCTGCGTCATCAGGCAGATGCCAGCTCTCAGAAAATCAGATCAGTTTTGGTTGCGATGAGCTGGCTTCCATAAATTCAAGCTGCTTGAACTAGAATCATCTCTTTCTGAGTATCCTGATTCATGCTAATAAGCCAGGGAGAAAATTCTAACAAAGTTAAGCCAGGTTCACTGGACAGATAAAAAAAAAAAAAAACTTGTTCAAAAGTTTTGATTTTTAATCCAAAAGACTTTGTCAGTCTGAAAGTCTCAGACTCGTCAAAATCTTGTCTCAGATTCTCTTTCTGCAATTTCTCCATGAAAGAGAGAAAGCAGGTAATCCCTGAAATTAAGCTGCATTTATGCAAAGTCTTCCTTGTGAAATGGACTGTACTTATATCGTACTTTTTTGTCCTATCGTGACACTCAAAGCTCTTTACAACAGTCTGTGTCCTCATTTACCCATTCATACAGCACTCTCTATACAGAGAATAATCAGAGCTTTATCACATTCACACATCGATGGGACACACATCAGAGGCAGTGAGGGGTTCAGTGTCTTGCCCAGGGACACTTCGGCATGTGACTGCTGGTGGAATCGAACCCCCCATTCTTGCATTGGAGGACGACTGCTCTAACCGCTCAGCCACAGCCGCCCACACTCTAAACCACTCTCCAATGAACAATCTACAGACATTATTCTGAAGCAAGTTGCCTAATAAGTTACAATCTCTCTGTTTGCTCACTTCCGGCATGACACAGTGCCCCCGGAGACCTTTGTGGGTGAAAAGGGGATCTTTGGAGGAAGGTGCCGGACATCTGTTGGGTTATCTGAATGGAACGTGGAGTGAGCTGTGATGCACTGGAAGCACATGGAAAAAACTAAACTCTAATTTAGGCCTGTCGCGATTAACTAATTTTGCTGGGTAATTTGTTGTCTCAGAAATTATTGCGATAAACTATAATATTGTTTGAAATTTGACAATAATTAGTAATTGTAAAATTTAAAAATAAATTTTTAATTTGTTTTGCGTTTAGTACCATTTTTCGACCACCCAATGGCAGTATAAGACTGTTTGAATCGAAGGACGGATACTGAGGGAGTGAGCAGCGTGTCTCTTTAAGAAAAATAGGATGGAGGCTCTTTGGAGCTTTGACAGGAAGGAGTTGTTTTCCTAATGTCGGCCTGTTAGCTTGGCTCTTAGCTTAGCTTCTCAGCTTAGCTGCTTTTAATCAAAATCAGAATGAATCAGAATAAGCTTTATTATCATTGCACCGAGATACAACGAGAACACGTACGTACAGTCGTCAGAAAGATGGACGTAGTGCACAAAGCTGCTGCTAATTAGCACAGCCCTCTTATTCTTATTCAGAATAATATTTTTGCTTAGATGAGCAAAGGGAAGAAAACATGAGGAGAGACGGTATAAAAAAAAAGATCTCTCACACCGTGTCCTAGACAGGGCACGATTTGAGGCATCAAATAAAACCTATCACAGCAAAGCAACATAAACAGACGTTCTACATGAACATATAGGCCGGGGAAGACATTGAATTTTAAGGGAAGGTCGTAGCATAGTCCAGAGCCGCCCTCTCAGCCATTGTCCAGATAAGAGGTGTTAGTTATCGTCAGCTCAACTGAGGTTCCGTCACATGTCCACGGCCTTGGGGAAGGAGGGGTGAGGAGAGAGAGATGAAGCATTTGTGTTCTTTTCAAAACATGCCAGGATGAGTTAAGTCCGCCATCAAGGCCACAGTTTGGGTCAGGCAGAACTCATAAATTGCCGTTTCTGCCTTTTAAAGTCTCGCTGGTACATTTCTCTGATGGTGACTCCAAACAGCCGAATTGATTCCTTACACCGAAAGTCGAGCTCACAGCTTCTCCAAGATTATTCCCAATCATTCATGGGTGCTGCCAGAAAGTTCACAGTCCTGATAACAGCTGCTCCATCGCTGATGCAGCTCCACATAATTCAGTCTGAGTGCTGCCAAGCTTCGACTCATCCACACGAGTTTGTAGACAATCCAGATTTCACCAGCCAAACAGCAGAATCCAGTTGTCATCATGAATCCACTTTGTTTCCATCAAGGTAAGGGGGTCCTCCTTACCCTGACTCCTGTCGGGAGAAGTTGATCGATTTTTTATGAGAGACCAGCTGATCCTTCGAATTAGGAAGGTATGCAGGAAAAAAAGTCTCTTTAAGGATTCACAAGACAAGAGAGCAAGCAGGGAAGCAGGGGGGATGGAGCACAGGGAGACACGTCTGTCTTCACCGGAGCACAGAGAGTAAAACGATCCAAAAACGCGATTTTAGACGGTTAAAACAGATTTTAAAACGAACGAAGAAAGGGACGGGTCAGTGAAGAGCACCGGAGTTGAGCCGTGTCTTCAGTAGAAAGAGACGCACGAAGAAACGATAAAACCAATAAATGAAAATGAGTTCTATAATTTTCATTTATCGTGCGATTAACTGATTTATTGTTTTATCGTGACAGGCCTACTCTTACTTAATAAAATTCAGACAACTAAATTATTGTCTCTCAAAATATATTCTTTTGTCACAATGTAGGTTCATGCGAAGAGCAATGTGTTGTATAACATGTCTGTGTTTGTGTTTGCTGTTAAACTGTTACCAAGGTGACCACCTTGTGTGAGTGTTTGTTGTAGAAGTCTGGATATTATGTGTGAATGACAGAGAATAGCAGCAGCAGCGTGTTTCAGTTCACATCAGTAAACCTTATTTATCACTTGTCTGCAGGCTCTGGCTGATGAGTTTCTGGATGGCTCTTTGCCGTTAGACTCCTTCCTCGAGCGTTTCCTACTCCTGCGCTCACTTGCTCACAAAAGACGTGTGCAGATGGAAAAACTCCAAGAAATTTTTCGGCAGAGGAATGAATGCAATCCCACCACGATGACATCATCAGCAGGCACCAACCTGAACCCTGTCGTCACACCGCCACCATGGAACCAACAAACGACAACGGCAACAACGACAAATCAACAACAACCGAACTCCAAACCACAGCCAGCCCCCACACCTGCAGGGGGGTCCACTGGGCTGCCCTATAGCCAGTACCCTGTTTCTCCTCCCAATCCCCCTTCTGCAGTGGCAGCAGTGGGCTCCGTCCCAGTGCCAAACAATCCCCCATCACAGTTCACCCCTTACCCAAGTTCTGGCTCATCTTTCACTCCATCATCAAGCTATTCTGGGCCTAGGCCTGCTTTCCTGCCTCCTGCTGCAGTCACATGCCCGTACCCAGCCCAGCCCTCCTTCCCTACCCCCCACCCTGGCTCTGCATTTGGCCAGTACACCCCAAGCAATCCCAACAGTGGTGCTGCACCATATCCAGCTTCTTACTCTTATGGGGGGTACAGCTACCCAGCTGGGCCACCCTATTCCAGTTCCCAGTCACCATCAGGGAGGCCCATCTACAGACCAGGATATGGAGTGTCTCAGCCGTACTCCTGAAGGCGCTGCTGCTGCTCCACTTCACCAATTCTTCCTTTCTTTTCTGTCTCACAGTCCCCCATGCCCCCCTCCCCCTTCCATTGTTCCTTCAGCTTCTAACCTGCTTCCTCCTTTCACTCATGTTCTTACTCCATAGATCTCGTGCTTTACTTAACTTTGTTGCACTATTTGATTATATGAGTGTCAATCAGCTCTCCCACACTAGTCTCAGGTTGTTGCATTACATTTAAGTGTGAAAATGTGTGTTCTGTGGTTCTTCATTCTCTCCCCTGCAAGCTCTACCCTTCTGTGTGTTACATGACACAAGTGAGGCGTTGTAACACTACAAACGGTGTGAAACACCTGTCGTCACGTTGTTCTTCATGACGGAACACCTTTGTTGTGAACATAGAAACAATGAAAACTGTAAAGTAGATAGCACAAAGATGGCTTCTGTGTAGTTAAAGGAGGCGGCCTGAGCCCTAGCTGCCTGTTAGTTGGTAGATGAATGCCTTGTGGACGGAGGAACTTACAGGAACTTCACGAATCATGAACACTTTTGATTTGATGTTCACAGGAAGCAACGTTTTTATTTACATTTTGATGTTTCTCATTACAAAAGTGTCAATCATAAGAAAAAAAATTTCCCTTTGGTGATTTAAAAAAGTCAAATCACGTGAAAAGGATTGGAAACTGTTTATGGATCAGTAGTTTTTAAAGGAAAACCTGTTTCTCTCTCGACTGATTTGAAAACAGCCAGATTTTTCACCTGTATGAAAATACAACAATTTGACAGAATTCCCCAAAACTTCTATTCGTGTTTTTGTTGCAGGTGACCGACGTCTGGTGTTCTGTCAAACTCCTTACCTGGTTCTGCTGATCGTTGGTCTGTTTTATCAGTGGCTCCCAGAGACACCTCAGTGTTTCAGTGAGCTGTGCTGCGTTCACCTTTCCTCCTTTGTCTGATTAAAATAAAAATAAATCTAAAAAAACTGGAAGAATTTTGAAATATGCCAGAAAAGATGAGAGTTGCTCACAAACTCACCTTTGTTGGGATGAAGTGTGTGGAACGGCGTGCTCAGCACGAGCTCCACCTCCAGGACTTTGTCTCTCCATGCGAGTCCATTCTCAACGTTAAACTACTTCTGGATGAAGCTTTAAGGAACATTCCCATTCATGCAATCTACAAAATATATATTTAGCTTCTACCTGAAAATGTTTCTAGCTTCCTTTTATTTTAAACAAGTTGGTCATGTTTCAAACTCTTACACCTTTACTGAATTTAAAATGTGACACCTGTCCAAGGCACAGTTGTAGTCCTTTACCTGATTACGTCCAGTTTTTCCTCATGATGATTGTTTTTGGCAGCTGGAAGATTTTTCACTTGTCTTGGATCTTCTGGAGAAGAATGAAACGTTTTGTTGTGGCAGCAGTCAAGCTGGTGTCATCGGGCTGCGACTAGTTGTTGGACAGCATTCAGAATCAGCTTTATTGCAACCAACAGCCCGTCTGAGAAAACCTGAACAGACGTGGGGAGACCGAGACTCCTGAAGAGGGAGCAGCCGAAAGAAGAAATGTCCAGCTCTAAAACCACTCTGATAATAAAGAACTACTGAAAAACTGTTGCAAATCTGCCTATTCTCATTTCTCAAATGTGGACCACCAAGTTATGTGCACAGCCAAGTTTGACCGGCCGTGCACACAGAAATGTGCTTTTCTGACGCTGGCTGCTCTGAACTTGGTCTCTCTGCTGGTCACGGCCACAGACTGAGTTCAGTGAGACCACAGCCACAACTGTCTCGCAGCCGAGTCGAGCAGCGGCAGCTCGGTGCGCTCTCGCCCCTGAACGTCGGTCTCTGCAGGGGGAGCACGTCTAACTCCGAGAAACGCCCGTTTAAAAGAACAGTTCTACACCACCTCACTCTTTTGCACAGAAGACTTCCCACATTTGAGCCAACGCAGACGGGGCATGTTCGTTACAACGCCGAGTTGTAAAAATGAATCGTGTCATACCTGGTCAGAGTAAACATCTGCTGCGAGTAATGCTGTGTAAAAATCCACAACACCGTGTTTATTGACTAGAATGTTATAGATTTTTATTGCTGTTAATTTAATTTTTACATGGGTAATGATGCTTTCTCCTTGGTCATCCGAACAGATTTTGCTCTGTCTAATGCAGGTAAGATGCTGACTGCTCAGAACGATTTCTCCATTTATAACCATTTGAATGATTACTTTAAATAACGTACACTGAGATAAACACAAGTCCACTACACATGAAGTTTGATTCCTTACAGTAAAAAACTGCCCAGTGGGTCAGAGGTGTTAGTTTTTGGTGGAGCAGACCCTGATCCAACCACATTTCTGCTGTCTTTAACACCAAGTTTTATATGAACGGTTATAAAATCTAAGATTAAACTTGTGTGACCTCAAGGTAGCTGGACTCAAAAGAACTTCTCCCCAATTCTTCCGGAGAACAGACGGCTATCTACTGCAGGTAAGATCCTGACTGCTAACAAACCTACTAAACCCCAGAAACGGATCTTTTTGAACCATGTAGTTTTCTTTGGTCATTCCCAGACGGAGTCGGGTCAGCACCAACAGGAATATGAAAAGTTCAACTCCTTCGTGGATCCAATTCAACTCCATTTTATACAGAACTATGCTCCGCTTCAAAGTTGTTCTTGTTAACACCGCCCAAGTGTATTGTACAAAGAAATGGTTTATTTCTCACTTCAGTCAGAAAACAAAAAGTTCAAATCCAGCAAAAATAAATCAACTTTTTCTTTTCTCGGTTTTCACCTCCAGCAAGTTATTTAAACTTGTTGTAATCTTCTTCCAGACCAAAAACTCAAACATTCACTTCTACAATGACTAACCAGAGGGAGAGGAACCTGAATGAACCTGATCAGTTCTTCAATTGACGTCTTTTACACCAGTAACACCAGCAGGAAGCCAGAATCCACCTGAACAGACGAGCATTTCAGCTTCTTTATCTTCATCCAGTTTACAAATGATTTAATGAAAAATGGTTCAGAGTGATTAATAACTTTCAGTTACACTTTTTTTAAATCACTTGCTGATTGTTTCAGTTTTGTAAGATGGTTTTTGTTCACTCTTGGAAAACTCAGGATTAAAGCAGCTTAAGAATTTAGTTTTATCTGATGTAGACTGGTTTGGACTGGTAGAAGAATGAGGACTGGTCCAGTTGAAGATGTTTCCACGATCATGATCGATCCCACGTCCACCACCTCCTTCAGTCTGAGAGAAGCACAGAACCGGTTCCTCCTTAAAAGAAACCAACACAACTTCAGCTGATGTTTATGGATGAAGTGGTGCCGAGTGATGATGGTTTGTCAAGATGCTCCTAATGTCATTTCACTTGACTTGCATGATGATTTATTCTTGTTCTCTGGTCATAAGAAGGTCATTGACCAGCACTGATCTTGGCCTTTTTGCAACAAGATGTCCCATAACTTGCATCTCTTTTACAACAACAACAATAATAATAATAATACAGTTCACCCTGTAGATGTTGGAAGTGTGTGTCTTGTACAAACCAGATTCCAAAAAAGTTGGGACACTAAACAAATTGTGAATAAAAACTGAATGCAATGATGTGGAGGTGCCAACATCTAATATTTTATTCAGAATAGAAAACAAATCACAGATCAAAAGTTTAAACTGAGAGAATGTTTCATTTTAAGGGAAAAATATGTTGTTTCCAAATTTCATGGCGTCAACAAATCCCAAAAAAGTTGGGACAAGTCCATTTTTACCACTGTGTGGCATCCCCCCTTCTTCTTCCAACACTCAACAGACGTCTGGGGACAGAGGAGACCAGTTTCTCCAGTTTAGAAATAGGAATGCTCTCCCATTCATGTCTAATACAGGCCTC